GAAGGAAAGAAATCATAAAAATTAGGGCAGAAATAAATGAAAAAGAAACAAAGGCGACTATAGCAAAAATCAACAAAACTAAAAGCTGGTTCTTTGAGAAGATAAAGTAAAAAAACCATTAGCCAGACTCATCAAAAAAAAAGGGGGGGGGGGCGGGAGAAGACTCAAATCAACAAAATTAGAAATGAAAACGGAGAAATCACAACAAACAACACAGAAATACAAAGGATCATAAGAGACTACTATCAGCAACTATATGCCCAAAAAATGGACAACTTGGAAGAAATGGACAAGTTCTTAGAAAAGTATAACTTTCCAAAACTGAACCAGGAAGAATAGAAAATCTTAACAGATCCATCACAAGCACAGAAATCAAAACTGTAATCAAAAATCCTCCAACAAACAAAAGCCCAGGACCAGGTGGCTTCACAGGTGAATTCTACCCAAAATTTAGAGAAGAGCTAACACCTATCCTACTCAAACACTTCCAGAAAACTGCAGAGGAAAGTAAACTTCCAAACTCATTCTGTGAGGCCACCATCACCCTAATACCAAAACCAGATAAAGATGCAAAAAAGAAAACTACAGGCTAATATCACTGATGAACATAGATGAAAAAAATCCTCAACAAAATTCTAGCAAACAGACTCCAACAACATATTAAAAAGATCATACATCATAACCAAGTGGGCTTTATCCCAGGGATGCAAGAATTCTTCAATATTCACAAAACAATCAATGTTATATATTACATTAACAAATTTAAAGATAAAAATCATATGATTATCTCAATAGATGCAGAGAAAGTCTTTGACAAAATTCAACATCCATTTATGATAAAAACCCTCCAGAAAGCAGGCATAGAAGGTACATACCTCAACATAATAAAAGCCATATATGATAAAACCACAGGAAACATTATCCTCAATGGTGAAAAAATGAAAGCATTTCCCCTAAAGTCAGGAACAAGACAAGGATGCCCACTCTCACCACTACTATTCAACACAGTTTTGAAAGTTTTAGCCACAGCAATCAGAGAAGAAAAAGGAATGAAAGGAATCCAGATTGGAAAAGAAGAAGTAAAACTCTCACTGTTTGCAGATGACATGATCCTCTACATAGAAATACAGTAAATGAATGAATACAGTAAAGTTTCAGGATTTAAAATTAACACACAGAAATCCCTTGCATTCCTATACACTAACAATGAGCAAACAGAAAGAGAAATTAAGGAAACAATTCCATTCACCATTGCAACGAAAAAAATAAAATACTTAGGAATAAATCTGCCTAAAGAAACAAAAGACCTATACATAGAAAACTATAAAACACTGATGAAAGAAATCAAAGAGGACACAAATAGATGGAGATATATATATACCATGTTCACAGATCAGAAGAAACAATATAGTGAAAATGAGTATACTACCCAAAGCAATCTATAGATTCAATGCAATCCCTATCAAGCTACCAACAGTATTCTTCAGAGAACTAGAACAAATAATTTCACAATTTGTATGGAAATACAAAAAGCCTCAAATAGCCAAAGCAATCTTGAAAAGAAGAATGGAACTGGAAGAATTAAACTGCCTGGCTTCAGACTATAATACCAAGCTACAGTCATCGAGACAATATGATACTGGCACAAAGACAGAAATATAGATCAATGGAACAAAACAGAAAGCCCAGAGATAAATCCATGCACCTATGGACACCTTATCTTTGACAAAGGAGGCAAGAATATACAATGGAGAAAAAACAATCTCTTTAACAAGTGGTGCCAGGAAAACTGGTCAACCACTTGTAAAAGAATGAAACTAGAATACTTTCTAACACCATACACAAAAATAAACTCAAAATGGATTAAAGATTAAGACAAGAAACTATAAACTCCTAGATGAAACCATAGGCAAAACACTCTCTGACATAAACCACAGCAGGATTCTCTATGACCCACCTCCCAGAGGAATGGAAATAAAAGCAAAAAATAAACAAATGGGACCTAATTAAACTTAAGGGAACCCTCTTACACTGTTGGTAGACATGCAAACTAGTACAGCCACTATGGAGAACAGTGTGGAGATTCCTTAAAAAATTGGAAATAGAACTGCCATACGACCCAGCAATCCCACTGCTGGGCATACACCCAAGGAAACCAGAATTGAAAGAGATACGCGTACCCCAATGTTCACTGTTTACAACAGCTAGGACATGGAAGCAACCTAGATGTCCATCAGCAGGTGAATGGATAAGAAAGCTGTAGTACATATACACAATGGAATATTACTCAGCTATTAAAAAGAATGCTTTTGAATCAGTTCTAATGAGATGGATGAAACTGGAGCCTATTATATAGAGTGAAGTAAGTCAGAAAGAAAAACACCAATACAGTATATTAACGCATATATATGGAATTTAGAAAGATGGTAACGATGACCCCTTTATGCGAGATTGCAAAAGAGACCCAGATGTAAAGAACAGACTTTTCGACTCTGTGGGAGAAGGCGAGGGTGGGACGATTTGAGAGATAGCATTGAAACACGTATATTACAATATGTGAAATAGATCGCCAATCTAGGTTCAATGCATGAGACAGGGCACTCAGGGCTGGTGCACTGGGACAACCCTGAGGGATGGGATGGGGAGGGAGGTGGAATGGCGGTTCAGGATGGGGGACACATGTACACCCATGACTGATTCATGTCAGTGCATGGCAAAAACCACTACAATACTGTAAAGTAATTAGCCTCCAAAAAATAAATTAATTAATTTACAAAAAGAAAAAAAAGTGGTATTTCAGTCTCTACAATCCCATATTAACTCTCGCACAATAACTACTTGATATTGGTTTATTGATTAATTTGTGTCTCTCTTTTCTGCTATAATGTAAGATCAAAACAGTATCTTGTCCTTTCACTACCCTGGTAAGAGGTACTTACTTAATAAATATTTGCTGAAAATAATTTGTATAGCTTAAAATGTGTTATATTTCAACAACAACAAAAAAAGGTTTTCTTGTCTTGTGTGTGTTTATTTATTTATTTGTTCATATTTCTGGTGGAACAACTGAATGGGATTAGAACTAAGTAAGAATTACCCATTTAGGATTAGAGAAAGTCATTCTCTGAGACTGAGAACAACACAAATTTATTTTGATTCAAATAAAAAAATGCATCAAGTTTTACCTGGCACAGTTAGGTACTGACTTTACAACCATGAAAAAACAGTTTGCACTCATGGAGCTTAAAGGAGAAAATAAGACAGGCTCTAAGTAAATGCTGCAAGAGGAGTGGCAGGTGGTGCTACAGCTTTACCTAACCCCTCCTGAGATGCAGGGAATCAAGAAAGGCTTCTTCAAGGAAGTGCCATTTAAACTGAAAGATCTATGCATTTGTGAGGGTGAATGGAAAGTGAGAAGAGCACTCAATGTAAGGGCAGTTTATTTTGCAGAGAGAAAAGATGAGAAAGCCCCAGAATCCAGAGAGCTCATAACATGCTTCCAGGAAACTGACAGTTACTTACTATGGCTGGAGAACAGATATAAATTGAGGCAGAGTGAGAGAAAGACTGAACAGATAAATGAATCCCAACATGAAGGCCTACTAAGGAATCAAGACTTTATCCTGAGGGCAAGAAAGCCAAGGAAAGATTCAAAGCAAGATAATTTTCCCATGTACCTTAATCTTTATTAAAGAAAGATCACTTTGGACACAGTGTAGAAAATAAATTAGAAGGAGACAGATAGGCCAACCTCTTCCAAGCAACAAATGATAGAATTAGGATATAAAATTGGAGACAAAGAAAAGTTGAGATTAAGATCCAACTCTAAGAAGTATTAGAAGCAACCAAGAATTATAACACAAAATAAGATGAACACTGAACATGCAAATAAAGAGGAATAGCTATAAGAAACCAAATCTATCAGAAGTTAAGTTTCATAGAATATGTGATATCTAAGCTGAAGAACTTTCAAGGAAGTATAGTAAAATTGCCAAACATGAAGAAAAGAGATTCAAACTTTATACAAGATTTTTACACAGCAGAGATGCTTCCTAGTACAAATAATTTAAATAAAATTTAAAAATAAGCTGCATGTTTAAAATGTATATCCTATCTTTTATGAAAAAACTTAAAAATCTACATTTATGACTAAGTTATAAGATTATAATTTCATTGTAATTTTTTAAGTCTATTCTATTCAACTACAAGCTATAAAAACCATCATAGTCTACCAGTTAACAGGTCTTGTTATCATTACAAAGACAGCTTTGCTAACAGTAAAATCATTCGGATAATCTAGACAAAATCAGTCCAATCAAGACATATCTATGTAAATAAGTCAAGACTGGGAAATAAAGGCACAACTGTTTCATTTTTCTGATAAAAATTAAAATAATAAATTGACATAAATTTAAAAGACAGTAATTATCCTCTAATTCAGACAACACTTATTGAGAATTTATACACAATCACACTTTTACATAAGTATTGGTACCATGACAGGCAATAGAGAGCCAAAGAGCTAAAAGACAGATCCTTCCTCAAGAATTTATAATCTCGATAGAGAGAGGACATAAATATACTTCAGTAAGCATTTTTACAAGACTTCTACAACAATAATGTGAATTTATAAATTAAAGCTAGTTCTAGAAGAGAAATCTCTTCTTTTACACTTGATAGTACAAAATGCAGATGTCAAAGGAATAATATTCTAACATTAATACATTTTATATTTCTAATGTTCTACTCTACAAATATAGTGCTGGATTAAAGAAAATTACTACTGATTTGATTTACAGAAGATCAATCACTAAATACAAAAAAGAAATATCAAACCTGAGGTAACACAGAAAAAAGTAAGATGAAAAGAGAAACAATCTATGTAGAAATCTGCTGAAGACCAAAAAACCCCCAACATAATAATAATTTAGATCTGTAATTTAAGTAAGATACTTATCACCTTTCATTTTAATATCTGAAAGTAACATACCAACACTTACCTTATAACTATGAGCATGGCTATCAGGATTGAACAAATAGGATCTGCTATCATCAGACCAAAATTCTGCATCATGATGGCAGAGGCAATTACACCAATACTCCCAAGTGTATCTGCTAGAATGTGTAAAAATACACCTAGAAATAAAGCATAATGAGAATCAAAATCACATTTTCTGTTCAACTAAAAATGTAAATTTTTCTTAAAACTATATTCTTGGTTTTATATATTAAAAAACTAAATATGAATTTGTATATCAGTACGAATGCTGATTCACTGTTTAGTAAAGAAGTAATAGTACCTCTGGGAATTAAAATAATCTTTCTTTTTAAAAAACATGAGGAGTTAAAATATTTGACTTGTAAGTTATACTTGCTCTTCATGATCCTTAATATTTTGCTATAATATAAATGAAGAAGTGAAGAAATACTTGATTTAAAAAAAATTTTTGTGCACATTCATTTCTGGTTGAGTCCAGAAGTTAACTAGTAATTTGTTAGGAGAAAACTGCATTAGGCTGAAAGAATCAGTCAAGAAAACACTGTTTATAACTACAAATTTATGTACACACAGAGCCCTCTGCTGGTAACTAAAATTATTACCTTTTGAGACTAAGATTTTCCTATGGACCATAACTCTACTAATAAGCTGGTAAACTAATTATCCTGAAGGTATTGTTAACTAAAGTTACATACTAAACTCAAACCTGATATGAAAGAAAGTAACAGTCTGAATATTTTAAAGAGGATATAAATATATTTTTAACTTTTAATAATTAACTATTACATTGAAAGTGAAAGTGATGATTGCTCAGTCATGTCCGACACTTTGCGACCCTATAGACTGTAGCCCGTCAGGCTCCTCTGTCTGTGGGATTCTCCAGGCAAGAATACTGAGGCGGGTTGCCATTCCCTTCTCCAAAAATATTACAATGGTAAGTTACTAATAGTCTAACTGCCCACGAACCTATATGTATGAACATTTAATAATTGGTATTTGACAGGAAAACAATTTTAAAAGTCAAAAAATTCATTTTAGTATACATTATTTAAGAAAATTTTAACTAGTGAACAATTAAATACATTAAAAAGTCTTGGGATCACTTTAAATTTTAAAAATAAAACTTAAGGAATACACATGGAAGTGGATGAGGATCCCTAACCTGCAAAACTCTGAAGTGATATGATAAAGACTTTAAATCTTTATATATTCTTTAATCAATGTTCTGGTAGGATCCGAATCGAAAACAGCTCTAAACACTGAAAGGAGAAAGAAAAGAATCCTTTGCTCTTGGTTTTCCTTTAATTGGCAAGTCCCTGGCTACATCTTATTTGCTGACCTAAAAACCAGTTTTACTAGCAAATGTTCTTAACTAAATATGTCCTTCTTTCTTTCCAGTGACGTTTTCAAGAAGAAAGTTACTAAAGAAAGAACTCTAAACTAATATGTTTAACTCATATAAAAGCCAGAAGTCATACTGAAAATGCAGCAAATAGCTGGAAAATTCAGTACACTTGGTTCTCAACTGTGGGTGTCTATGTGGGAAAGTGTTTGTATCTGGCAGTTATCCTATGGGCTGCCTCAGCCACCATTAATGGACACTCAGAAAATACTCGTTCATAGTACAGCCGCTATGGAGAACAGTGTGGAGATTCCTTGAAAAACTGGAAACAGAACTGCCATATGACCCAGCAATACCACTTCTGGGCATACACACCGAGGAAACCAGGTCTGAAAGAGACACGTGCACCCCAATGTTCATCGCAGCGCTGTTTATAATAGCCAGGACATGGAAGCAACCTAGATGCCCATCAGCAGACAAATGGATAAGGAAGCTGTGGTACATATACACCATGGAATATTACTCAGCCATTAAAAAGAATTCATTTGAATCGGTTCTAATGAGATGGATGAAACTGGAGCCCATTATACAGAGTGAAGTAAGCCAGAAAGATAAAGACCAATACAGTATACTAACACATATATATGGAATTTAGAAAGATGGTAACGATAACCCTATATGCAAAACAGAAAAAGAGACACAGATGTATAGAACAGACTTTCGGATTCTGTGGGAGAAGGCGAGGGTGGGATGTTTCAAGAGAACAGCATCGAAACATGTATATTATCTAGGGTGACACAGATCACCAGCCCAGATTGGATGCATGAGACAAGTGCTCGGACCTGGTGCACTGGGAAGACCCAGAGGGATCGGGTGGAGAGGGAGGTGGGAGGGGGGGATCGGGATGGGGAATACATGTATATCGATGGCTGATTCATGTCAATGTATGACAAAAACCACTACAATATTGTAAAGTAATTAGCCTCCAACTAATTTAAAAAAATAAATAAATAAATAAATAAAATAAAAATAAATAAATAAAAATAAAAAATCCACTCTAATGTTATTAAAAAAAATATTAGTTCATTTTTACAACAGCTTATATAAAAGATAATTAGGAAGGCAAATCTGACCTCTCTTTCCTCAGTTTGTGATGATTTCCATAACTAAAACTTAACTCTTATTATCAAGGCTAAATGTATAGTATTACATATGCATGATTATAAGTTATTTCAGCAAATGCTGCCCTAAAACAATTCTTTATATTTCACAAAAGGAAAACTGGTGACTAGAAGGCACATTTAAGCCTCCTAAAATGAACTCTTCAGGATGAAGGAATATAGTCCCAGGGAAAAGATAAAAAGCAAGAGCTATATCAAAAAATAGTGGAGAAAATAAAAATAAGCACAGTAGAAACAGGATCACAAGCCAGTGAGAAAGTCCAATTGTGGTCAAAAGTTAACAAAGAGGACCTGCCTGGTGGTCCAGTGGTTAAGAAACTGCCTTTCAGTGCAGAGGATGTGGGCTTGATCCCCGGTCTGGAACTAAGTTCCCACATGCCTCAGGGCAACTAAGCCCACACGCCTCAACTAGAGAGCCCGAGTGCCGCAAGGAAAGACCCTGCATGCCACAACTAAGACCCGATGCAGCCAAAAATAAATAAATAAATATTTTTAAAAATTAATAAAGGCAGGAAGATGGGCAGCTGGAAATTAGGAACTTTGACAATGAAACCTATATAGAAATCCAGAGCCAAAGATCAGTTCACAGCCCAAAAAAGAAACTGCCATTGTTCATGGACAAGACAGATTTTCTCTAGCTTGTAAAATTCTGTAATGTATCATTTTACATAACCTGTAAGCTCCTGTTTACGTTTAACCATTTGATGCTTATGTATATGCAAAAGATCTCTCTTTGCATCACATTTTTTGAAAATATGACATTACTTTTAAGAGCAGTTTTAGGTTCACAGCAAAATAAGTGGCAGATAACAGAGATTTCACTGTTTCAACTCAGGCACAGTCCCTCTCATTATCAACATCCCCCACCAGAATAGTGCATTTGTTACAAATGACATATCATTATGACCCAAAGTTCATAGTTCATATTTGGATTCACTCTTGGTGTTACACATTTTTTGAATTTGGATGCATTACATTTTTAGCACTCAATTTTCCTACAACATAAATTCATACTGAATATTATTTTTAGAAAAATTATTTAACAATTCTACAAAGGCAAACATACTATCATGGTGTTACTAGAGTCAATGGCACGAGTATATATATTTAAGCAGTCTAGTTTCTGAATATTTTAATCTTCTTATTAAATGTTAAGAAAATAGCTCAGTGACAGTTAAAAGAACATCTGCTAACATACCTAATAGTACATGTTAAAAAATCAACTAGGAAGGCTAACATTTTAAACACAAATACTATGTTATACATTTTTCTTAAAGGAAAACTACAGCTAGCTCAAAACTATGAAGCCAGTTGCATAAAACTGAGAAATATACAAATAGCTTGCCATACCTTGTAAAATCTGTCTACTGGGTCCTGTTGTTTCTTTTAAGGAGGGGCCATCTGTAGAGAGTTAAGTTAAATTATTTTAAAACATGTCTTCAATTCCTGATTCAATTTTTGCAATTCAGAGTACTTTTCATTCAAATGTATCGTGAAGGATGCATGATTACATAGCCACATCAGACCTACAAAATTATTTTTAAAATTTAATATGGTAATTAAATGAAGATAGACATAGGAAATTTCAAAATGCATCAATAGTACAGAGTATTTAGGAAATTATTATATTAGGCAATTTGGTTAAAAAAACCCAGTAAATTAAAAACATTATGAATTTTCTAATATCCATAGCATACTTTACAGAGTTTGCTACATCAATTTTACAGTTGGAAAATTCAGAAAAAACAAAACTACCCTTTGATATTATAAGAAGACCAAGAAATGAAACCAGGACATTTTCCAGGAAAACTGGACTATGGCAAACAGTTTCCCAATAGCTTCTAGATGAATACAGCAAGATTTTTATACAGAAGAGATAAAAATACTTTTTCATTTTGCCTTTTTGATGAAGAAATAAATATACCGCAATTTTTATACTAAATAGTTGGAAAATCACTAATCAACATTAATGTCAAAGCAAAAATACAGGTAACAATGTAAATGATCAGCAGTATTTGTTGTAAGGGAGCATCAGGACAACTGATGCGCTTTTTGATTATGACTAACAGAGTCCTAGTTCTTGGCCCACAGTAACAAAGAGTGGACCTACCCTTGTTTATTACAGCTTTGATGGAACAATGTGACAATGCCAGAAGAATTATAAAAGCATAACGTTATGCAATGATTTTGGTCTAAATATGGTAGTGCTGCATGGGGAGAAAGATGTAGTCATCTTAAAAATCCTGAGAGCTGAAAGTGTAACTGTTCTAAAAATCAGTCTCCTGTTCAGGGCATGAGATTTCTGTCTATACATAGTTAGTCCAGATAAAGACAGTCATTTTTTTTCTTTTCTATTATGGTTTATTATAAGATATTCCTGTGCCATACAGTAGGACCTTATTTATTTTATACATAGTAGTTTGTATCTGCTAATCCCATATTTTAGATTTGTCATACAAGTGATAAATATCATATTGTATTCATCGTCCTCTTTCTGATTTAATTATGACAATCCCTAAATCCATTCATGTTGCAGCAAATGGCATTATTTCATTCTTTCTTATGGCTGAATAGTATTCCATTGTGCATATATACCATATTTTTTTAATCTATTCATCTACTGATAGACATTTAGGTTGCTTGCATGTCTTGGCTATTGTAAATACTGCTGCTGTGAACACTGGGGTGCATCTTTTTGAATTAGTTATACTCTGGGAGATGGTAAGGGACAGGGAGGCCTAGCATGCTGCAGTCCATGGGGTCAGAGTCGGACACAACTGAGGGACAGAACAACAACATTCTCCAGATATATGCCCAGGAGTGGGATTGCTAGATCATATGGCAACTCTATTTTTAGTTTTTCGAGGAACCTCCATACTGTTTTCCATAGTGGCTGCACCAATTCACATTCCTGCCAGCAATGTAGGAGGGTTCCCTTTTCTCCACATCCTCTTTAGCATTTGTTATTTGTATACTTTTTCATGATGATCATTCTGACTGGTGTTAGGTGGTACCTCGTTGTAGTTTTGACTTGCATTTCTCTAATAATTAGAGATGTTAAGCATCTTTTCATGTGCTTATTAGCCACCTGTATATCTTCTTTGGAGAAATGTCTATTTAGACCTTTTGCCCATTTTTTGATTGGGTTGTTTGTTTCTATGTTATTAAGTTGTATGAGCTGTCTGTATTTTGGAAATTGAGCCCTTTTTGGTAGCATCATTTTCAAATATTTTCTTCCAGTCAGTAGGTTGTCTTTTCAGTTTGTTTATGGTCTCCTTTGCTGTGCAAAAGCTTGTAAGTTTGATTAGGTCCCATTTGTTTATTTTTGTCTTTATTTCTATTGCCCTGGGAGTCTGACCTAAGAAAACACTGGTACGATTTATGTCAGAGAATGCTTTGCCTGTGTTCTCTTCTAGGCGTTTCATGGTGTCATGTCCTATACTTAAGTCTTTAAGCCACTTTGAGTTTAGTTTTATGTATGGTGTGAGAGTGTCATCTAACTCACTGATCTACATGCAGCTGTCCAGTTTTCCCAATATCAGTTGCTGAAGAGATTCAACAGTCATTTTTGACATAATTATTTTAAAACATATATTCAGTTATATTAATATAACAGTTATATAAAATAACTCCCACCTATGTAAAATCTGACAATCCTTTTGGATATAAAATTTGTTTTCTGTGGCAGATATTGGCTACCTCCTTACTAGACCCATTTCTTCTTCCTCTCTGATAAACAACTTAACTGGATTTCCCAGGCTCCCTGAGTTAGGGATCACTTGAGTTAGGTGGTGTATGTGACTGAGTCGTCAACAAAGAAAATACAAGATGTAAATTATTTCCAGGCTCAGTTCATAAGAATATCCTACATGATCTTCTATATACTCTATCTCCAGCTAGATGCAGATAATCCACTGGTGGAATCCAAGGGTTAAGAATCCTAAAGATGGGAAGAGCCTGGATTCCTGAATGGCCATGAGGAACAAAGACCCTACCCTCTACACAATCAATCCAAGATATAAACTTTTGCTGTTTAAGTCACTAAGATAGGAGCACTTAAACAAAAAACCTGTGACACTTCACTCACAGTGCAGCATTCCAATAAATACAAAGTTCACAGTACTACACAGTGGGACTATAATGGTTCTCACAGGCAAAATGGAATAATGCCCCTGTTACTTTTGCATTCTCAGACTGGCCTATAAAATACTGAAGGAAGAATAACACTTAACAGCAGATTTTGAAGTCAGATTCCCTGTTTGAGGCCTAGCATTTCTATTTACTAGTTACTATAATTTCCTTATGTCTTAGTCATTTCCACATCTTTTCTTTTCCCATAGAAAGGCTACTTTTCAACTATCTGAAAGCTTACCACAGTGTATTCCCCAGAGTATTAGAAAGATTCTAGGACAACAAACAAGGGGTCAATGGTAAGTGTTGATGGGAATGACTCTAAAGATTGGCTGGCAAATCTTTTTGTAAGTAGCACGGTTTCTAATTCTTTGCTTCTAATAAAAAGTAGAGATTAGCTAATAAAACTACCAATTAATAGATCATAAAAAATATTTGATGAAATCTATGTAGCTGTTGGAATATAATTCTGAAGGTAATCAAAGAATTGACAGAAACTGCTGTAACAGAGTTCCTTCTATTTAAGGTTTCTTAGAACTTACATTATAAAGAAGGAAAACAGGAACAGGATTGATATCAAAACCTGTTTTATGCTGGTAAGTTATTTATCCATAAACTAATTGAGAAAGAGTTTCAATCATCTCATTAAGATATGTATTTCAAATACAATGCTGCTTTTTAATGATTACATATATATCAAAAATCAAAACATAATTATTTTAATTGAGTTTATACTAGTAAAAGCTATAATAATTCCATCTGAAATGTTTAAATGCTGTCTTAAGTTCCTAAAAGATAAAAGATTTTAATTAATATACCTTTTTTATTGCCAAGAAATATAACAGATGACCAATTAAAGCCTTAACACAAGTATACTCCACTTTATAAAATTCTAGAAAGGAAGTGGAATAGAAATAAAAATTCAAGAAGAAAGGATGTTATAAAATTAATAACTGTTTAAATATTTTTAAATAGGTGATGGTGGGTCTCAAATCACTAAGTTATTTAGAGTCCACTGACTATGTTCAATAAAGTAATACAGAAGTTTCATTCTAAAATATCAAGTATCACATTATATTCTCTACAATTAAACAATAAATTTTTTTTAGAAATCATCCTAAGAATGTGAATATACAGTTTTTATCAAAATTATTTTGTGATGCATGTGAGCAAAAAGCTTAGAAAAGCAAGGTGTTAAACCAGACCAGTGTAATAAATAGCTACAAAAGTATAGCAAATATTAGAGACTGAAAATATTAGGGGCTTAGTACTCAATCCCTAAAGCCCACTTCATCTTTTCAGATTGAAAGCTTTAGGATTCTGTCTTTCTGGCAAGTACAGACAATCTTTAAGCATATAACTTATTTAAAGATTAATCAAACTGTATCACCCAAGCAGCTTCTATTAGATTAATAATATTCCAAAATTTTGTGAATAAACTAAACATAATTTTAAAATAAAATGTTAAGTTGATAAATACCTTATAACTTAGTATCCAATACTATATAAGTTAACATATAAAGACTTCTAAGGGAACTGGAGATAAATATCAGGTGATATGTTAAAGTTACAATAAAAATGTGGAAAATTGAAAACTATTGTATTTTTATAAGCCTATATATGGCACAAAAGGCCTTATCATAATTTAAAAAAAACTGCTGAAATGCAATAGCTCCCCATTCACTGACACTCATTTAAAATAGTGGCATTTTATTATGATAAACTCACTGAAAAAAGCTACATTCACTGCCTTATGCTGAGTTAATTTCATTTTATACTGAAAATAAACTAGTCTTAGAAACCATTTAGTCCAATTTATTAGAAAGGAACTTGACTAAAATATTTTTAACAGATTATTTCAACTTGAAAAATTAATCTATGCCCTTCTGTTTAAGAAACTGTCCATCTGAAAGTATTTTGGCTGTACTCACCATGAGAGTGGAAGTGTCCACGTCCATGAGCATGATCATGGCTATGTGCAGCACCATGTTTCAATTCATGACTGTGGCAGTGATCTGCATGGCCATGCGTCTGATCCAGAGCACCATTAAAGAGAGAATGACTGTGTCCATGGCCTAAAAAAAAAGTGTGTAAGAACAAAAGGTATGTAAAAATGTATTACTTAATGGTTACAATAATACTGACATTAGTGAAAAGAATTAGTGCTAAAACCAGATTCAGTTCAATAAACATTTATTTGTAGAAAGTTCTAAAATGACGATGCTCAGTCACTCAGTTGTGTCCAACTCTTTGTGACCCCATGGACTGTAGCCTGCGGGGCTCCTCTGTCCATGGGATTTTCCAGGCAAGAACACTGGAGTGGGTTGCCATTTCCTATTCCAGGGGATCTTCCTAACCCAGGGATCAAACCCATGTCTCTGACATCTCCTGCATTGGCAGGTGGATTCTTTACCACTGGGCCATCTAGAAAGCCCCATAGATTCATTAAAACAATACTGAATTCTTAGTATAGAGTTCAGGAAGGAAATAAAAGCACAGTAAGAAGTGGCAGACTCTACTGGTGATAAAAATAAGTGAGAAGTACATAGGGGGATTTAAAGAGATTAGATAATGTTGCTCATTCATTCAAGAAGTACTTAGTTGGAACACATTATGTTACAGTACCATCCCAGGCACTGGGGATAAAACAGTGAACAAGGACAAAATTCTTGGCCAAAACTTTGCCAAGTACTATCATACATATAATACTAACAAAGTTAAAATAATACATGCATATGGTTGCATTACGGCAAAGGCAGGGAAACTGCTGCATTTAGTAAAAGGACCAGTAAAATTAAAGCAGGTAGAATCCTTAGAAGAAAAAAGGCACAAAATAATGGGGAATCATTTCTCCATAGCAGACCTAAGAACTACCTAACCATCATAGAAACATCTTCTACAAACTATTTCCAAGTATAGAAAATGACTGGATGCTACCTAATTCAAAAATATCACTTATATTTACAAAAATCCTAAATACCCTAAAATCAAACTCAGCAGTGCATTATACGAAAAATTATGAATAGGGAGATCAACTTCCAGAATGGTAGACAGAGGCTGTTGGCAAGCTAGTGCTCCTAAAACAACAAAAATATGGGAAACACAACTAAAAACTTTCAGAAGTCTGATAACTAACCAAAACCACAAAAGGAACTGAAAATCATCTAGCCAAGAAGCTACCAAATCTCAGTAAGACAGCAGAGTCTTGATGTTTTAACTTGGGGTTAGTTCCATTCCACTTCCTGCCTAAGCTCAATTGAAATTAGCCAAAAGTCAGCAGCTTTGCAGACACTGAAGAGATCTGATTTCTTCTCAGGCTCTGTTAAAAGCAACATGTGCAGATCACAGTCAATATTTTGCCCAAACTTGGCAGTTCCCTGAAAAAAAATCTTTATTCTCAACGTGGTAACTATCAGATTCAGAGCTCAGCTTCAAGAATTCAATGGACATACATTACAGGACATGAATCAATACAAGGAAGTCATGCAATAGGATAAGTAACTATAATAATATCAGGAACAGCAAACTTTGAGAGGAGAGGGTGAATTAATCAGATACCAATGCCATTTTGGAGAAGGGGACGACAGAGGATGAGATAGTTGGATGGCATCACTGACTCAATGGATATGAGTTTGAGTAAACTCCAGGAGTTGGTGATAGACAGGGAGGCCTGGCGTGCTGCAGTCCACGGGGTCGCAAAGAGTTGGACACGACTAAGCAACTGAACTGATATTGAATGTCATTTTATTATTAAAGGTCCAGTATTCAATAAACAATTAGTAAGATATTCAAAGAAAGAGAAAAATAAGCCATACACATAGGAGAAAAACCACCAACAGAAAATGTTCCTGAAGGGGACTCAGATATTTGACTTTACAGACAAAAACTTTGACCAGCTACTACAAATATGGTCAAAGAAGGAAATCACGTCTAAAGAATCAAAGTACAATAATGATTACTCATCAAGTAGAGAATATTAATAAAGAGATAGAAGTTATAATAAAGACCCAAACAGAAACTCTGGAATTAAAAAAACATTATAACTGAAATAAAACATCCACTTTACAAGGGCTCAACCACAGTTTTGGGCTGCAATAACAGTAAGCATGAAAATAGATCAATAGAGATTATATACTCTGAAAAACAGGTGGAAAAAAGAAAATCAAGAAAAAGGAATCTTAGAGACCTATGAAAACATCAAGTCTACCAAATTAATTATAAATAAAGTCCCAAAGAGAAAAGAGGGAGAAAAAGAAATATAAAAAATACTTGAAGAAATAATAGATGGAAACTCCCCAAATTTGACAAAAAATATTATCTACACATTCAAGAAGTCCAGGAAACTCCAAGTAGAATAAACTCAAATAGAACCATATCTAAAGACATCATAGTCAAACCAATGAATATCAAAGAGAAATCCTGAAAATTGTATAGCAAGATAAAAAGGACTTATGTACAAGAGATCTTGAGTAAGATTAAATGCTGACTTCACAACAAAAATCAGGGAGGTCAAAAGACAATGGGATAATACATTTAAAATAGAAGAAGACTCAATCAAGAATTCTAAATTCAACTAAAGTCTCCTTTAAATATAAAGGAACAATCAGACACTTCCGCATAAACAAAAGTATTTCCTACAAATGAAATGAAATGACACTAAATAGTAATTTAAATCCACATAAAGAAATAAAGAGCACCAGTTAACAGTAATCTTGCAAGAGAAGACAAATGTATTTTTTAATTTGCAACTTGTTTCTTCTCCCATGTTTTAGAAGACAATTGCAATTACAGTACAAAACTGTACTGATGGGTTTATAACATAAAAACATGTAATTTGTCTGACAACAGTAGTATAAATAAGGGAGCTGAGGAATAGAGGTATATCTGAGCAAAGTTTTTGTATATTATTAAATTACTATTAATCTGAATTATTAAATTATTATTAATCTGTTTTAAACTAAGATGATATTTCTAATCCCCAGGGCAACAATTAAGAAAAGAACTAAAATAATATACAGTAAAGGAAACAAGAGAATTAAAAAAGTATATTAGAAAATATCTATTTAATTTAAAAGGCAAAAATCAAGGATCAGAGTAACAAAAAGGACAAAAGATTCAGACAACAAATATCAAAATGGCAGATGTAAATTCTACCACAGTAGTAATTAAATGAAATGTAAATTTTTTGAAACCTCTAGTCAAAAGGCAGAGACTATAAAAAATGGACTGAAAACAATGATTCAGCTATATTCTGTCTATAAGGGTCAAATTGTAGATTCAAAGACATAAATAAGTTGCAAGTAAAATGACAGAAAAATATACCAATGCCATGCAAGCAGTTAAAAAAGACAGAGACAGAGAGAGTCAGAGTGGCTATCATAATACTATAAGCCAGAAATTACTGTGAGAAAAAAAGAACATGTTATTAGCAAATTCTATGCCTCAGGAAGATATCCATGACTATAGAAATGAACTGAACAACACAGCTCCAAAATACATGAAGCAAAAACTAAAAAAATTAACTGGAAAACTTAACAACAATATTACTTGAAGACTTCAATACCCTACTTTCAATAATGGATAGACAAGTAGGTGGAAGACCAAAAAGCAACAGAAGACTGAACAACTATGAACAAACTATTCCTAACAGACAGCTATAGAATATCCTACCCAACAACAGCAGAATACACATTCTTCTCACATGCACATGGAAGAATCTCTAGGATAGACAAATGCTAGGTCATTAAAATAAGAAACAAGACTCAACAAACATTTTTAAAATTTGAAATAATAAAAGGTATGTCATCTTATCCCAATGGAATTAAACCAGAAATCAAAAACTGAATTAGGGAAATTCATATATATGAGAAAATCAAAAAGGATACCACTAAATAACTAATGGGTCAAAGAAATCACAAGGAAAATTTAAAAATACTTTGAGATAAACAAAACTGAAAACATGACATACCCAAACTTATAGCAATGCTTAGACAAATATTTATAGCTATTAAGCCTCTGCTAAAAGGAAAAAAAAAAAATTCAAATCAATAATCTTCTACCTTAAAATATTAGAAAAAGAAAAAAACTAAATCCAAAAGCAAGGAAAAGAGTGTATAATAAACATTACAGCAGAAATAAAATGAAATAAAGATAAGAAAAGCAATAGAGAAAAACCAAAAGGAAAAAATAATTGAACTGACCACGAAAAAGAAAAAAAAGGTAAAAATTACTAAAATCACTGCTGACCTTATGAGAAAAAGAAAAGGCATACTTTTTAATACATATTTAAAATAATTAATAAGTCATTTATATGGAACAGACAAACTCCTAGAAACACACAAAACTGCTGAAATGACTCATTAGGAAACAGAAATCAGATAGACCTATAACAAGCAAAAAAACTGAATTAGTAATTTTAAAGCTATCAACAATGAAACACTTGGTCTTCACAAGCAAATTCTGCTAAACATTTAGAAAGAATCAGTACTTCATTAGATATCCCTCAACTATGCCTCCCAAAAAAGAGAAGAGAAGGGAATGCTTTCCAACTCATTATACAAGGCCAGTGTTACCCTGATATCAGCACCAGCCAATGATACTAAAAGAAAACTGCAGACAAATATCCCTTAGGAATATCAACACAAGTGTGGAAAGCGTTAGTCGCTCGGTTTTGTCTGACTCTCTGTGATCCCATGGACCACCAGGCTCCTGCCTCCATGGGATTCTCCAGGCAAGAATACTGCAGTGGGTTGCCATTTCCTTCTCCAGGGGATATTCCCAACCCAGGAATCGAACCGAGGTCTCCTGCATTGCAGGCAGACCCTTACCATCTGAACTACCAGAGAAGTACAAAAGTATTCTATAAACACACAAGTCTTAAACAAAATACTAGCAAACCAAATCCAGTAATATGTCAAAAGGATTACAAACCATGGCCAAATGGGATTTATCCTAAGAATGCAAAGGTGGTTTAATATCTGAAAACCAAGCAATGTAACACACTATATGAATAGAATAAAAGAACCAAATGATTATCTTTAAAAATGAAGAAAAAAAATCATTTAAAAAATCCAATACTCTTTCATGATGAAAACTGAACTAGGAATAAAAAGAAAACTTCCTCAATCTGATAAGGAGCATTTCTGAAAAATAGCTAACACAGCTAAAATCATATTTAATGATGAAATACTGAATGCTTTCACCCTAAAATCAGGAGAAAGAAAAGAATGTCCACTCTCACTACTTCTATTTAACTGTAGGATCTAGCCAGGGCATTTAGATTGATGCAAGGCTGCCACAAACCTCCAATCTGTAAAAAATGCAGAGTCTGCAAAGCTCAATAAAATAAGGTATGCTTGTATATAGAAAATTCTAAACACTCCAATAAAAGCCTGTTAGGATAATGAACTACTTCAACAATGTGACAGGACACAATATCAATATACAAATATGAGCTATATTCCTATACGAGCAATGAGCAATCCAAATAAGAAACTAAGAAAACAATCCTACTTACAGTGGCAGCCAAAATTAAAAAAAACCCTACTGGTAAAGTTAACAGAAGAAGTGTGACACAGTTACTCTAACAACTACAAAACACCTGTTGTAAGAAACTACAGGAGCTAAAAATAAATGGAAGGGCATCCCATGTTCATGGATCAGGAGACTTAAGATGTTAAGATGACAATAATTCCCAAACTGAGCTACAGAGTCAATACAATTTCTATCAAAGCCCCAGCTGCTCTTTTTGGGCAGAAATTGACAAACTGACCCTAAAGTTTAAATGGAAATGCAAGAAGAGACCCAGGGCAGCCAAAGTAACCTTAAAAAAGAATAAAGTTGGACAATTCAAATGTTTTAATTTCAAAACATACCCAAAAGCGGCATTAAGCAAAACTGCATAGTAATGATATAAGGACAGACATACAGATCCACGAAATAGAATTGAGAGTCCAGAACTAAACTCTCAATTGATTATTGACAAGGGTGCCAAGACAATTCAATGGGGAAAAACAATCCTTTAAAAAAATACTGTTCAGACAGCCACACATTTATATACAAGAAAATGATATTGGACTATACCTCATACCATATACAAAAATTGACATAAAATGGATCACAAACCTAAGTTTTAACTCTCAAATTAAAAGATGGTTTCTCATGAGAAAAATCTTATCAACATAATTACCAACTTTAAATTAACTAAAGCAGGGGAAAAAAATGATTACTTCAATAGATGCAGGGAAAAAAAAATATTCTTAACTTGGTAAAACAGTTTTATCAGAAACAGACCACAAACATCAGACTCATTGGTAAAACTTAGTAGCATTTTTAAAATGCAGTGGTTCTGAACCTTTATTGCACATTAAAGTTGACTGGAGAGATTAAAAACATGCTGATGTTGGGGTCTCTTCCTCCAGAGATTCTGATGTAAATATCCTGGGATTAAATCAGGGCATCAATGTTTCTTTAAAAGTTACCCAGGTGATTATACAGGCTGACACAATGATATAAGCTATAACTATTTCTAAACACTGTGATAGAGATTCTGGCTATGTAATTAAGACAAACAGGAAAAATAGTTTTCATTCTTAATAGAAAAAACTTTTCAAATACCTAAAAATGAACCAAAGTGACTAAGACAATTTAATAGAGGACTCAAAATTTAAGATGTTAATTCTCCAGAATTAAACATAAAGGCAATGCATTCCCAACCAAATCACAAAAAGATTTTTCATAAAACCTGATGAGGTGATTAAAAATACCAAATGAGCAAGACAGGCCCAAACAACTCTGGAAGGAAAAAAAAAAGAGAGAAAGATGAGACTAACCCTTCCAGATGTTAAAACATAAAGTTTATAGCAATTAGTCCCGTGTGATTCTGAAAAGGCCAAAAATAATCTGATATTTAAGGTAATGTAGGCTAAATGTGTCCTTTTATATCAGTGAGGTAAAGAGCAAATTAATAAATGGTGTTGGAAAACTGCTTATTCACAGAGAAAAAAAGTCCTAACTCCTCACCATAAAAATATATATAAATGAAGGACCAACGCAGTTGGGACAAAAACCAAAATTTTCATGGTATTAAATAATAAGAATATTTTTATGACTCAGGGATAGGAACTCCTTAAAAAAAAAAAAGCAGAAAACATACCACAATGTATGTAAGACCAAAAAAAGAAAGAAACTAGACTATATCTAAATTAAAAACCCCTAAGTAAAAGTTTAAACAGACAAGCCACAGACTAGGAAGAGATATCTGCAACACATAAAACAAAGAATTAGCGTAAAAAATACATAAACAAAAGCTTGTAAATGGATTAATAGTAAGACAATAGAAAAATGAGGTGTTAAGGAGGGGAGGGACAATTCCAGAAGAGGAAAAAATCTGAATGATGGCAAAAACATACAGAAAGATTTTCAACCTCACACTAGTCCAAAAAATAACAAATAAAATGAGATATCATTTTTATCAAAATATCAGCAAAATGGTTTTAAACCCATAATAGTAAGTTCTGATATGGGTGAAAGAATCCGTGTACTTACATTTTATGCTGGGGTAAATATAAATGAGTTATTTGGAGGGCAACTGCTAATGTCCATTGAAACTAAATATTATATATCCTGTGTTCCAGCAATTCTATTCATATTTGAGAAACTTTCAACTCAGAGAACTTTCTATGATGATGGAAATTGTCTATATTTGCTATCCAATATAGTAAAGAGCACTTGAAATGTCATTGACTGAATTCTTAACTTTATTAAATTTCATTAACCATAATTTAAACTTAAATAGTCACATCTGACTAACAACTACTATATAGGACAGCACAGCTCTGGAGAAATGTTTACATGTGTTCATAAAGATATGCTTCATATGGAAGCATGACAATCCATAGAAGACTGTTTAAATAAACCACAGTAACTCACACCATGCAGTTTTATGTGTCTGTGAACAAGAGAAGGTACACTGATGGACACCAGGTGGAAGGATCGCAAAGACAGATTGTATTATAAATTTCATACCCCCATACACCATGATTTTTTAATATCTAAATTTGTGTTGTTGTTTTGGTATTAGCTTTATATAAATGTTATCATACTAAACAGATGAGCTACAGAGGTCTTGAAGTAGCCACACCAAACTGATACTATAACTCTGAGAAGTCACAAAAGGGGAAGGTTCAGGAGGACATTAACATGAGTCAATTAACATATTGTTTTTGTTATTAAAAATCAATAGAGTTAGACTTTAAAAAATCATCAATTTTCAAAAATGAATAATTATGACAGAAACCAGAAATGAAGAAACAAAGGGTTCTAACCATCATACCAGAGCCATGAGAATGTCCATGACCTCCATGCTTGAAAACAAATATTCCTACTAGGTTTACCACAAACCCAAGAATTGAAACAAGAAGCAGTCTCTCATGATGTACATCTGGAGGGGCTAATGCTCTCTAGAAAACACAGAATACAAACAAACTGTATTGATATATTTTCTGACTAATCAATTGATAAAAATAAAAAGCAATTTAAAAAAAATTTTTATTTTCAGAATTAAAACCAGTCCAAAATTGTCTGCCAAAACAGTTAACAGAAATAAAACCATTGCTCACATATTTCAGAAAAGGTAACAATTATTCTTTTTAAGTAAGTACACTTAAAGGCATGAATATTTGGACTAAAACCATCCTTCTTTGGAATCTTAAAATACTGTAAATAATTTTAAGCTGATTTAACTTTTAAATTTTTACTGGTCTTAAACATCGAAATACTGAAGATTCATTGGCAAAATCCTCAGATTGTATGTTAAGAACTATTTCCAACAGAACTCACCACCAGGATTGTTGTGTGTTTACTTTTCAGTGTCAAAACATCATTCACAGCTTACAAAACACTACTATTTGTTTTCAATTTCAAGTAGTTTCACATATAACTTTTCAATTATTTTATAAGTTCCTCTTGTACACAGATAATACTTTATGCAACCCAAGACTGGCCTCAGTAAATACTCAATGATAGTGTGAAAAAATAACTCTATTACATGTATCTTTAGTTAGTAAACATTTTCATTGTACAGAAAGGTAATTTACTGGCTCTAGTTATTATCTACTATACCTCAACTCCTTCTGAGAAAATAAAAAAAGCAGTGAAGATCAAAAACAGGCCATTGACAAAGCCAGCCAGAACCTCCGCTCTAACATACCTAGAGAAGAGCAAAGTAAACAACTGAATTAAGTTATTTCTTTAAAAGAAAACCAAATCATAAATTTACATATATTCAGAGGTACTAAGCCATACTACACAGTTATATGTAGCAAACAAAGTCCCAGTGTTTATAGTATAGTATTTTTATTGTACATTTCATAAAATTGAGAAAATAAATTTAATTACTATGAGTTATGTTTAAAGAAGAATGCCATAAAATACAGAGATATCTACAACCCAACCAAAAGACCTTTACAGAGTAAGCAGTTTTAGAGAGACGTTTCAGAGAAATGTAAATCTCAAGCTGCAACTGGAGAAGAAAGAATAGGACCAGATAAGTGGGCAAAGAAGGAAGGATACAAAGATAAAAAGTTGAGGAAGAGAGCTTGAAAAAGGGCATTTGTAACTTATTAATTCCTTCTTTTCTAAGAACTCCTTATGCTTTTTGCTTTGTATCTTTCAGCTTTCAAATCTCTGGCAAGCAGAGCTTTGATCCGAAGGAAAAATAAAATTAGTTCTGAATTATCCCAGAGACAACTTGAGATTTATATTTCTATCACTCTTCTTCTAAAGATGAATAAATTTAAGAAAAAATCTTCAATATCCTAAATTTTAGAATCAATTCTAGTTTCACATAATTTGAATTAAACTGTTTTTAAAATACCTGTCTTTTGTTCCATGGACTTCTGAAACTTTCTGCTTCCTACCTGTGTGAAGCATTGGGGAAAGATTTTATTTTTTCATGAGCTATATTTGGCTTAGTTAAAGTTATTAGAAACAACTTTAACTTTGCAGTTTAACATGTTCAGACATTATTCAAAGGGTGCTAACAGCAGTTAATCACTCTGGCCCTTAAACAATGTAATAGGAGCATCAAAAGTATGATTTTTTCAAGCTTTCTATGTTAATTTCTAGATAACACAATTTTTACTGCAAAAGTATTTTTAAAGTAAATAGAACAAACTCTTTAAAATATATCCCATACAGTTATGCTAGAGTTTGCCCTGTAAAGCACATTTCAAAGTAGTATATATATATCTATACTTAGAAATAAAGCATATGTCTACCTTCTAATACACATAAGTGAATTAATATATTATTTGTCAAAGCATATACTTTTTTTATTATTAAATTCAAAGAATTTACTGCCTGCTTTCCACAATCCACACTTAGGAATTTATCTGTATCAGCAGGGTTACTTCTCCAAAATAAAAAAGCACTTTCTTTTAACCCACTCTTCTAATCTCATAGCTAATGCATGATTGAAAGCCTTTTGTCCTTGAATTCCACTAGATTTCAAGATCAAAGGAAAGACCGGTTTTCAGGTATCTCTTTGTCCCTAATGCTTAGTAGGTGTTCCATAGATTCTGATAAATAGTTGGGCTAAAGTGATTTATTTAGGTTTAATATATTTGCTAAACTTGACTGCTGGATTAAAATGAAAAACCTGTAAAGTCCAGACACACTTGCTTTTTCAAATGACTGTTTACTTGAACAGACTGTCTGGGAATTAAAATGTATGATCCATTAATGTACTATTACCTATTTAAGAATGATCACACCTGTATTCCTTAGTCAAAGCAAAAAATATACAAGTATATGTACATATGTATATTAGCATGTACATATGCATCCACCTATCTATCAGATATGTATTACTTTTATTCTGGCTTTACTATTTCAAAATTAGGAGTGTGACAAGACACAAGGGTGACATCACATAAAAAGTACTGAAAAGCTTTTGCTGCCTCTGAGATTCCTCCTATTGTTTCTTCTATTGGACTCAGTCTGCTACTGTGATCATACTGAATTGGAGATTTGGGGACTCATCACTGGCTTAGCCTGTTCAGTGACTTTTTGATACACTGGCAAAACAGCAGTATATTTCTACTATTGCTACTTACTACTATAGCAATTACTAACAGTTTCAAATGTTACATCAGCTTTTATTCACTAATTTTTCCCTTCTCAAAAGAAAAAAAGAGCAAAGAAGAAGAAGACAGGATAAACAAATTAAAAGGTGACAAGAATTACTTTCTTGTAATTACTTTCTTTGTAATTACTTTCTTGTAACAAGAATTACTCTCATATATTTTAGTTAAAGTGGAATTAGTAAAACCTGCTATGGTACTGAAGGTATTCAAAGCCATTTCTAAAAACCATCTTATATCAGGAGATTATGCATTCTAAATAGAAAACAGGATACCCTAAGAATTAAGAATTTTTAGTTACTGTCTATCCAGAAGTGTTGCTTAATAAGATATTCTAATTTCATTTTTTATATAAAATATGTATGAATTACTAATTTTCCAACACAAAATTATAATTTCACATACAACCTTTCTTTAATAATTAAAAATACACTTTAAAATCTTTGATTATCTAGTGCCATGAAATAGGTTCTTTTCTGAGTTTTCAAGCTGTTTGGATTTGTATACAGGATCTCTTGCTCTATACTATAGAAACAATATAATTTGTTTTTTGTCTCACTTTTTATAACTTTATAAGTAACCACATCACCTGGATTACACCCCAGATCAGAAAGTTCTGTCACAGAATTTCACGTATCTCTCTTTTAGCACTTGAAACACAATGTTTAGTTATTACAGTATTTTTACAGAACTGTTTCCCCATCAGACTACAAGTTCCTCTGAGGCAGAAGTCATACCTTATTCATTTTGTTATCATTAGAAGTAACACAGTATTGAAATCACAGTGGATCCTCAATAAACATTTGAAGAGAACAAGAGCTCATGCAAGCAGTATGTGCTTACTCAAGAACAAAAGCAAAGCAGAAAGAAAGAGGAAGCGGGGGAGGACTGCGTGTAGAAGAGACACAAGAGACAGTTCATGTAAGAAGGTGGATGTGCATGGGAGAGGGAGAGAATGAGAAGCTGCACAAGAAAGAAGTTCTCAGGGAAGAGGAACCTGTGAAAGAAGGAAAGAGAGCCTGAGGGAGAAAAACCTACAGCTGAAGCGGTTAAGGGACGGAAAGAAAGAACGCACCTGAGGGGTGCAGTGGTATAGTATAGAGGGACAGTGTAGAAGAAAGGAAAAAATAAGAGAAAAGATGTGAGGGAAGGAGAAAGAGTGAGAGTAGAAGGGAGAGGAAGAGAAAAGACCTGAACACAGACCCAAGTAACTAGAAAGAACAGAAAAGGAGAGAAGGGAGTTTAGGAGAAATAAAGGGGAGAGAATGAGGAGGATGGGGACAAGAATGAGAGATGGAATGAAAACAGGAAAGATAGCAAAGAAAGGCAAGAATGTGAGACTGCACTCAAAAAAAAGAGGGGAAAAGACCTAGGGCAACTGATCAAACAAGCAGGTGGGGGGAGTAGGAACAACAAAGTAGGTGGAAGAGAGACAAGCAGATGTTAGTTCCGAGTGCTGCCAATACATAAATATAATTACATTGTAAAATATTCTGGACTCAAAAAAAAAAGAGAAAGAAAACACTCAGGCAGAGTAAATCAAATAATGGAAACCCCATTGTTCCCCCCCAGTCAGAGCATAAAGAAAGCTCTGACTCTAAGGTTACTAGGCTCAGAAGTGAGACCAGATGTTCAGAGCAAGTCCCTTCAGCATAAAAACACTTTCCTAATATTTGATTAATCGTCTGAATTCAGCAAAAGTAAGAGAAGTATTTTACATAAAGGCAGAGCTGAAGACAATAAGTAAACAAAATATCAACCAAAAATGAAAAATAAAGAAGCATGATCATATTCTGAAACTTTTTCTTTTACCTCCTCTTCTCTCAAAAAAAAAAAAAAAAAAAGAAAAGAAAGAAAGAAAGAAAAGTTAAGAGCTGGGAAAGTCCCCTAACTAGTAACAATCTCACCTGAAATTCTCTGGTAAAATCAAGATGCAAAAGAACTTAGATGCAAAAAAATTTACATATTATAGATTCTAATTATACACTGTCCAAAAACAGGCAAAACTAGCCCAAGTCAGGAAAGTGGAAGATGAGTGTTAAAGAACTAGAAGGAGACCTGAGGGGGTTTCAAGGGTTCAAATTACATAAGAGTGTTCAACTGTGAAAATTAAGTGAGCTTGAGATTTATGTATTATTTTCTGTATTTCTTATACTTCAATAAAAACGTTTTTAAAAAGTCTTACCCATAAGAGAAAGCATCATTATCTCTCCATTTTGAAATAACAGATGCTGCCAATCCAGCCAAAATGGCAGTGCTATCGAAAAACATGTGAAAAGAGTCGGAAATCAAACCTAAGCTGGAAAAGAACAAACACATTGGCATATATTACAATAATAATCAAATAGCAGTCATCCTCTAAAAATCTAAGATTCAGCCTCTGCTTATCAGGAACTAATCTTATAAAATGACAACACTGAAATATGATTTATTTTAAAATATCTAAGGTAATTTTTAAGTGTCTAAGAAGACACCCTCACACCCCCTACCCAAGGAAAAGCTCAGCTGCTACTGAAAGAAAGGCAGGAATATGCCCACCCTCTGGTGACTAGCAAAGGTCGACTGAAAGAGAAACAGAAAAAACAGCCATTTGTTACTGGGGGCAAGGCTGAAGCCAGCTTGGGCTCAAGACCTTACACTGATAGAAAGCAAAGGTCTGCAGTTAGAATAGGAGCAAGGCCCTTTCTTCTTTTTTTGATACAACTCTGGCAAGAGGGATAAGAAATGGGGCAGGAACATTAACAACACTCACTCCTATTCTCAGGGGTAAGGGGCCTGCCCAATACTGAGGCTGCAAAAGGAGAAACATATACCCATCCCCTCCACTTCTCCAACGAAAGTGAAGTGAAGTCAGTCGCTCAGTCGTGTCTGACTCTTTGCGACCCCATGGACTGTAGCCTACCAGGCTCCTCCGTCTGTGGGATTCTCCAGGCAAGAATACTGGAGTGGGTTGCCATTTCCTTCTCCAGGAGATCTTCCCAGCCCAGGGATCGAACCCGGGTCTCCAGCATTGTAGACAGACGCTTTACCATCTGAGCTACCAAGGAAGCTCATCTCCAACCAAAGCCTTGCCTAAAGCAAAAGACAACAGCAATCTACCTCTGAGAGCCAAGAAAGAAAACAGAGACCCCTTATGGCGCAGGTATGCAGGGCTTGCTGAAACCTGAGAATGGTAACTAGTAATACCAAAACACAATAGCCCAGCTCAACTATTGACCAGATAGGTTCAAAACCCCCACACTAATGGCCTGACCAAAAAAAGGGAAAAAAAAGATGTGCACACCTCTGGTCATAAATACTACTAACCTCAGTCTCTATTGTTCTTCTAAATATAACATATAGCACTCAATAAATATTTATAAGGCATATTAACAAGATCAAGCGGAAAAAAAGTAATAAGACCTATTGTCAAAAGCTAAAACAGTCAAAAGAAGCAAAATCTGAAAAGTCCCAGAGATTATATTGTAATAGGAACTAAAAAATGTGATCAATATGTTAAAGGATGTGTTACAAAGCTGGGGAAAATTTATGATCAGAAATAGAAACTAGAAAATAATCAAATGGAAATGATAAAAAAAAATTTAAATATAATATTGAAGATTAAAAATAATATAGACGGACTTCTGAGCAGACAGGACACAGGGAAAAAGAATCAGTGAGATCAAACCACATAATCCAGAGTAAAACACAAAAAAGAAAAGGAATGGAAAAAAAAAAAGAGAAAATTCAAAATCTCTCAAAGGATCAGACAGACTAAAATACATGTATTTGGATTCTCAGTTATGGAGAGGGAAGAATAAGGTAGAAAAAGTATTTAAAGAGAAAATGATTAGAGTTTTCCAAAATTAATGGAATAAACAAACAAACCAACAACAACAACAACAAAAATTCCATATCCAAGAAGCTTAATGAGATCCTAGCAAGGCAAAACCCTATATAACTCACAAATTGCTGAATACCAAACAGAAAGAGAAAATTCTGAAAACAGTCAAAAAAAAAAAAAAAAAAAGAAAGAAAAACTGGATACATAAAAGCAAAGCTAAAGATTAATAGCATATTTTGCATCAGAAACTACTCAAGGTAGAATGCAATGAAGTAATATCTTTAAAGTATTGAAAAACAAAAAATGTGTCAACTAAAATTCTATATTGTGTAAAATATCTTTCAAAAATGAAGGCAAAACAGACTTTTTCAGACAACCAAAACTAAGAGAATTCACTGCTAGCAGATCTGAACTACAATAAAAAGTTATGTAAGTACAAATATGATACCACATGGAAACTTAGATTTGTATGATGAAGATCACTGAAAATGATAAACATGTGGAGAAATATTAAACATAACTTTTCTAACTTTTAGTACCTTTAAAAGATACTTTTAAAAGTAACTTTAAAACAGAAAAGGTACCTTTAAAACAGAAAAAAGGAGGATAAAACAATAAACTAAAGTTGGTTCTTTGAAAATATCAGTAAAATTCACAACCTTTAACTAAAGTGACCAAGAATAAAGAGAAAGGGCTCACTATTACCAAAATCAGCAATGAAAGTGACACACTATTACTGACTTTAGGGAAAATAGAGATTATAAGAAATTACTATGAACAACTAAATATAAGCCAACAAATTAGGTAACTAAGATGATATATGCAAACTCCTAAACAATCTAGCAAAACTGAGTCAAAAAAAAGTCTGAACAGATTTATAGCAAGTAAGCAGATTAAATTAATGCTTTTAAAACTTTCAACAACAAAAAAAAAGCCTAGGCCCAGATGGCTTCACTGGTAAATCCTACTAAATATTTAAAGAACAATAAATATCAATTCCTTACAAACTCTTCCAAAAAACAGAAGATGAAGGAATACTTCCCAATTTATTGTGTAAGTATTACTCTGATTCCCAAATCAGACAAAAGACATCACAGGAAACTAGAAACCAGTAGTTTTTGCAAACACACACACACACAAGAATCTTCAACAAAACACTAGCAAATCAAATTCACCAAAAAAAGACAGCACAGACCACAACCCACAACCCACAATGCCAACAATGCAAGGTTGGTTAACTACATGAAAATCAATCAACATAATACATCATATCAATGGCAAACAGACAAAAACCACACTATCATCTTAATAGATGTAGGAAAGTATTTGACAAAATCCAACATTTTTATGATGAAAACATTCAACAAACTTGCAGTAGAGGGAACTTCCTGAACTGATAAATAGCATCTACAAAAAACCCACAGCTAACATCAGCATCATTATAATGGCCAAAGATTGAATGTGTGAGTGTGTGCTCAGTCATGTTCAACTATATGCGACCCTTTGGCCTATAACCTGTAAGGCTCCTCTGTCCGTGGGATTTTTTCAGGGGGTGGGTTGCCATTTCCGCCTCCAGGGGATCTTCCTGTCCCAGGGATCGAACCCACGTCTCCTGTGTCTCTTGCATTGCAGGTGGACTCTACCACTGTGCCATCCAGGAAGCCCCAAAAAGTGAATGCTTTCCTCTCAGATCAGGTACAAGATAAAAATGTCCCCTCACCACTTCTATTTAACATTGTACTAGAAAGTATAACAAGGCAGGAAATGAAATGAAAAGCACCTAGACTGGAAGGGAAGGTGTACAAACTATCTCTATTTGCAAGTGGCATGATCTTATATATGCAAAATCTTAAGGACAATTTAAAAAACTGTTAGAACTAATAAATGAATTTGGGAACGTTGAAGGCTACAAGATCATTGTACAAAAATGAATTATATTTTATGCATTAGTGATGCACAAAATGCAATTTTAAAAATTCCCATTTATAATAGCATCAAAAAATGCTAAAGAAAAAATTTAGCAAAAAAAAAAGTGTAAAAGCTATACTCTGAAAACTATAAATATTGTTTAAACAAAATAAAGAAGACCTAAATAAATGGAAAGTTATCCATGTTTATGGATAAGACATGGAAAAGGAAATGGCAACCCACTCCAGTATTCTTGCCTAGAGAATCCCGTGGACAGAGGAGCCTCGTGGGCTGCTGTCTTATGGGGTCGCAGAGTCGGACACGACTGAAGCGACTTAGCAGCAGCAGCAGTAGCATGGATAAGACAATACTGTTAAGACGGCAATAGTTCCCCAACTGATCCACAGATTCAACTTATTCTCTATTAAAATCCCAGCTGACCTCTTTGGAGAAACTGACAAGTTGATCTTAAAATTCATATGGAAAAGCAGGAAATCTAGAATAGCCAAAACAATACTGAAAAAGAAAAGCCATGTTGAAGAACTCACACTTCCCAATTTCAAAACTTATAAAGCTACAGTAATAAAAACAATATGGTACTAGGATAAGAATAAATACACAGATCAATGGAATAGAATTTAGAGTATCCAACAAACGATGCTGAAACAACTGGATGTCCACATGCAAAAAAAATTATTTCTGACCCTTTCTTCATATTATACACAATAATTAACCTAAAATGGATCAAAGACCTAAACATAAAAGCTAAACTAGCAGTCTCAACCTTTTTGGCACCAGGGGCTGGTTTCATGGAAGACAATTTTTCCACAAGTGGGAAAGGGGTAGGCATGGTTTAGGTGGTAATGAGAGCAATGGGAGAGAAGATTCAGGCAGTAATGTGGGCAAAGAGGAGAAATAGGGAGCCACTCATCTCCTGCTCTGAGCCTGGTTTCACAGCCCATGGCCGAGGACAAGTCCAGGGCAGGGGTTGGGGAACTCTGAGCTAAAGCATTCACAACCTCAGATTAGGCAATGATTTCTTAAATATGATATCAGAAGCATAAGCAATAAAAGAAAAAAAGAGGAACACAGACTGAACATCATTGAAATTTTAAAACTTTCATGCTTCAAAGGACAATATCAAGAAAGTGAAATGACAATGTACAAGTGGGAGAAAATATCTGCCAATCATATACCTGACAAAAAGGTTGTATCCAGAATAAATGAAGAATTCTTAAAACTCTTCAAAGACAGAAAATATCTACTTTTAAAAAATGAATAAAGGATCTGAATAGACATTTCTCCAAAGAAGACATACAAATGGCCATCAGCACTAGGAAAGTTACTCAACATCATTAAACGCAAATCAAAACGATGTAAGTAACAACTTCACATCCACTATGATGACCAGAATAAAAAAAGTCCATGTATACCTATGACTGATTCATGTGGATGGATGGCAGAAATCAACACAATATTGTAATTATCATTCAATTAAAAGTAATAAATTAAGGGAAAAAAGTCCAATAACCACAAGTGTTGGTGGAGAAACTAGAATTCTTCCACAT